ACACAGAACTTCTTTTTGATAAAATAAATACAGCCTTATTAAGCAGAAGAGACCTCTTTCAAAAACATTACAATTTGTATTATTAGTATATTATTATTATTAATATGAGAGAGAGAGATAGAGAGAAAGAGAGATATAGACAGAGAGAAAGCGAGAGAGACAGAGAGAGTCCAGCAGAACCTCGACGGGCACATCCTTTATCAGGATCCTTCAGAGGAACACGAAACCGGTCTGGAGGATCTCAAACACACACACACACATACACACACAAGCTTGCGAACACACATTTCTGTGATCATCAGAGAAGAGAATCCAATTAAACTAGTAATAACAAACAGATCTTCAAACCATCAGACTACTGTAATTTCAATAAAAACACCCAAAGCACAACTAATTATGAACAAAACCACGTTACGTAAACGGACACAGTGTTAACTCGAGGGTCTGTTTCTAATGTCCAGCAGAATGTTATATAACTCAGATAAGCCCATGCATCATGTCAAGAAAGCATCCACTGGACCATTTCAATAGGCTTTTGTGTGTCTCTGTGCGGCTGCCTGAGGAACGACTCCAAACTTCAGCGCTTCTGTGAGTTTCTGCTGAAAGGTCCATTTTGTAGCTCAAATCACTCGACCATCAAAATGGAAGCCCTTCAGCTGCCTCTTAAAACCCGATCTGAAGCACACAGATCACCAGCGAGAGCTCAGGGATCTCATGTGCGTCTGCAAAGGGAATTTCAGGAGAAACATCTGAGACATAAGAAACATTGTAACTCCTAAACAATGAGAGTAGTTAAGTCTCCTGCTTTATAATAACAGCATTATTCACATTCATTACTCCAACATATACTGAATCCAGACTGTAAATCCTGCGTGAGATTCAGAGCAACAGACTGTCGTCAAAAATCTCTTTTCCGTCAAAATAAAAGCTCGATGATTTAATGTTTGAAAATGAAAAAATTAAAGGGGTCCCATTATGCCCTTAAAGGACAACTCCGGTGCAAAATGAACCTTTAGTCTTACACATTGTTACCTAGTCAACCGTTATCTGAGATTTGTTTTCATGATTGCCTTATGTAAATAGTTTTATCTCTAAAACCAGTTTAGCCTATAACGCTAGTATAACGCTAGTATAAAAATCGCTAAATCGCGGTAAAAATCGCTTGTTATTACCACTAACAAGGCTCAAAATAGGCCCACACTAATACGACAGCATAATAAGGGTCCCTACATTCAAACCGAAGCATTGAGAACTTTGTCAGTGTCCATACAGTTTAATAAGAAGATATTTTATACACACAGTCAACTTCGCGAATACAGGAAGAAGCCATCTTTGAAAAATAGTCTCTACCAGTCGATCTACGAACGCCGATCCAAGTGTGCTGGTGAGATGTGAATAAGGTGATAAGGTGAGCGCGAACAGTAGGCTACGTGTACATATTGAAGAGAAGAAAACGGTTCGTGTTTGTGTTTCTTCCGGAAACAACGGACCATATGAGATTCTGCACAGTTCAGCGCACTTGGATCGGCGTTCGTAGATCGACTGGTAGAGACTATTGTTCAAAGATGGCTTCTTCCTGTATTCGCGAAGTTGACTGTGTGTATAAAATATCTTCTTATTAAACTGTATGGACACTGACAAAGTTCTCAATGCTTCGGTTTGAATGTAGGGACCCTTATTATGCTGTCGTGTTAGTGTGGGGCTATTTTGAGCCTTGTTAGTGGTAATAACAAGCGATTTTTATTTGTCATTACTCTATTCCCTATATACTAGCGTTATACTATCGTTATAAGCTAAACTGTTTTTAGAGATAAAACTATTTACATTCGGCAATCATGAAAACAAATCTCAGAGAACGGTTGACTAGGTAGCAATGTGTAATTAGACCAAAGGTTTATTTTGCGCCGGAGTTCTCCTTTAATTTTGTTTTTGGGGTGTATTAGAATATGTTTGCATGCTTGGTTGTTCAAAAAACGCAATATCTTTCAAATTTACATTATCACAACTCCTCTCTCTGCCGATTGGTTGAACGTTTCGTTTTCGAATAAGCCCCTCCTTCCGAACTGTGCTGTGATTGGTCAGCTGACCCAGTGTGTTGTGATTGGCTGCGTTCGGGAAATGTCTCGCCTCTTTATAACCGCGAGCTCTACTAAATGGCATCCATTTCAAACCATTTCGCGCAGATTCAGACCCTGACGATGTTACCGACCGAGAGGATCGTGCAGAACGGATTTTAAGCACACATTTTACAGGATGTTTCAGAGTGGTATGGTTTTTTTTTTTTTTTTTCTCATACGTTTTAGATACGATGTTATCCACCATTTAATATTTGTCTGAAAACTATGGTTATACTAACAGTAATCAACCACAAATAATTTAATAATTTTCATGAGCGTTGTTGAACAGCCTTACAAAAGCTCCAGTAAACATTACCTCAATACTAATAACTATTATGTTCAAACAACAACACTACACACTAACTAAAGTTGAAAAAGTGGAGAAGCATAAAATGACCCATTCAAGATATTAGTATTGAAATTTTACAGTTGTAATGAAATATAAAATGGTTACTATATGATTTTTATTAAGTACTCTTTTTATTGGGGTTTAATATTTTCATTTAGTAATAATAATCATAATCAAAACAACAATTACTATTATCTGTAGTCCCATTATTATGTGATTTGACAAATATGATTTTTTTCCCCTAAATCATGCAGCCCTAAAATCTAAGAATACAATACCAGAATTTTAGACACCAGTGAAACTTAATCAGAACAAACACTAAGACTAGCACTCAAGCTTATCGCAGAAAAGTCAACATACATGGCAACTCATATTTTTAGTTTCCCACTTGTAAATATGACATAATTTGCTCAATAACTACGATATTTCAGACTCCAATAGATGTGTATAGGCTAAAAGTGCACTTGGTTTTTGACACAAACACTAAGTATCTTGCACTAGTGCACTAGAATGACATCTCTGTCCAGTTTGCATCTGATTTTAGATAAAAATGATCTATTTAAACTCCTCGTCGACATTCGCATGAATTGATGTTTTGGTTTCCAGTAGTTTGTTGTCGTTCAGTTTCGTCTTCAACTACAAAATAACTAAATAGTGCGAATAACGAATAACTCCGTGTACAATGTACATGTGATTAGAAAAAACAGTTACACTTTATATCAATAGTCCACTTTAGACAAATACTAACTACAAGTACCTTTTCAACTACTTCTCATTAGTGTATTAGTAGACTGAGGGTTCAGTAAAATAAAGTCACTTATAGTTAGTAGAATGTTTGAAGTGGACTGTTGAAATAAATTGTTATTGAAAACCCAAGCTGTTATGTCAAGCTCTCACTAGTGTATGGTTAAAAAAAACCATTTCATTTAGTTATTTAAACTGCTGCTTTGGTTTAGAACATGGTGTTTATATTATAAATGTATAGCGTAGTTTACGTACTCTAGATTCGATCTTAAAGTTTTCCATTTGTATGTTGTTTGGATGAAAACACGGGGCATGATGTGCATGTGGAACTTTTCCCCAATGGAAAAAATACAGAAAATAAAAAATCCTCAAAGAAACAATCAACAGTTAGTTGAAGGCGTAGAGTCTAATGCTGAAACATTAGGGAAACATCTGAAATATATATCATCACAAACTAGCATTGTCTAAATGTTTTAGTGAGGCAATACACCATTCATTCATCCACTGATGAACATGTTGTAGTTGACACCTGAAAAATAACACTGAAGTCAATATGAGCTGCGAAACAGTCGCTCAAGTCAACAGGTCATTAACACAAAAGCCTGGTGAACTCGTCGTGGGCCACACAAATATCACTCACACGTAACTTCAGGGGAGTTTTACATCAAATCACACATAAACTAACACTGGGCAAAATAGTGAATTTTCCATTCTAGGTATAGGCAGCTCAAAAGGGTTTGGAACGGAGCTCATGTTTGCACTGTTAACTTCATCCTCGCTGGTTTATCATTAAAAATAGATGAGACGCCTTTGTGTCTATTCTTTCGTTTTCTGTGTTCAACATGACAAAGACACAATAAAGAACGTGCAATAAGCCTCACTGAGAGTCATAAACAGATCTAATGTCTACGACGGATCATCATCTACAATCATCTGCCAAAAACACTACAACATGAGACACTGTAAATGTTCTGTTGTGTTTTTCATATTTGATGAAGTTTGCATGTTTTATATATGTCTCGTGAAGCTGCTTTGAGACTTTGCATTGTGGAAATAAAGCTTGATACTCCAGAAAACAAAGCACAGGTTTAGGAGCGAACTGCGACCCGAGCGTTTCTCCTGCGAGCTGAACCGGCTTTAGACTGGATCTTCATGAAAAGTGGGTCAGCGGTGAGCTTGAACCATGAGCCATCGCTGTGTGTCAACAGTTGCATAAGAAGGCTTTTAGCTTTTCCAGGTCAGACACTCGACCAGATCACAGTCATTACGGGAAACTACAGGAAAAATCCCTCTAAAATCTACAGCCTGAGACAAATGACCGGCTGGATGAACGAGATCACTTATGCATTGCTTGCAAATCCATAAAACATTTGAGAGAAATCAGTAAAATGTTACAAATAACATGTATACGTCTACATAAAACCATAGAGAACCTGCTTAGAAACATCAGACAGAAGCAGTGTCTGAAAAACAGCCAGTAACCTTCATGTGAGAGAACCTGTTTGCCCTGACATGGGAGACGTGCCACCATTTTGAGTTCCTCTGGCCTGCGTCTGTCGCATTGAGTGTGTGTGTGTGTGTGTGTGTGTGTGTGTGTGTTTGTGTGTGTGTGAGTGCGCTGTCTTTGTCAGCGGGATTTCACAGTGGCCAGAGCGTTTGCAGAAGGACACACACACAGACATCTTCCACCCTAATGCTCTGATGGTGTGCAATCATGTTCAGCGTGTCACAATCAAACATGCATGTCAGATTATTAAACTATTAAACCAGACAAGTACACAAACACTCACTTTCACTTCCAAGCAGAAGCTTCACATTTGGTCCAAAACGACACACAGGTGCATTAAGGGAACTGTACCACCAGAAAGTTCAGTATTAATGGATTCATAAGTTCTAAGACCATGGCTCATCAACATAATACATTGATATACATGACTGAAAATCCAATGAAATGACAGTAAAGAGAGCAGGAACTCTGTAGGAGCGTCTGTAGGCCACCGTAGTATTCATCAGAAACATGCTAAAGTCATCATGAAACCTTCAACTAAACCGCGTTTCACTCTAAAAAACGGCACAATAACAAACCGCAGCGTGAGTGTTATTAAAAATATCGCGCGTTGGTCAAAGTAACAGAGAAAAAAAAGTGCAAAGAAGCGTGAAATGTGTCACCAAACGCCTGGCTCGCGGCGCGTCCGGGTCCATGCAGTGGCCAGGAGAAAGTCAACCTTTGTTCTCCAGCGAGACTCCAGCGAGACTCCATTTTCTGGTGTCATTCTACACCTGCGGGGACAAACACCTGGAGCCCGGCGCGAAAAACACACACAATAACAACATCAACAACACAAGCGTTACATTGTAACTACACCGTCACGTCACGAGAGCGTAGTGCGCGCGCGTTCGCTCGCGTCGCGTCCGTCAGTCTATATCTCTCTCTCTCTCTCGCTCGCTCGCTCTCTCTCTCTCTCTCTTGACTAATGGACGCGGAGCTCCAAATCCGCGCAATGGCTTCCAACGCTCCCGTCAGACGCGCAACGCGTCCCTCAAACGCCCGAAAAACAGAAGCTCTGCGATCAGAAGCTCTGGATGAGACGCGTCACTTTACATGCACCAAGGTGCCCGTTCTGAAGGATTCGCTCGGTTCTGTTCTATTGAGAAGCAAGAGCGTTTCCAGATCGTTCCTCTCCACAGATCCCGCGTTCAAAAGCGTCGTTATACGGGTCGAGAAAGCGAATACTCACGCCTGGATCCTGGATCTTCTGTACTGAAGTTGTTCCCGGTTTAGAGCAGGAGAATGTTCGCCATCTTCTTCTCTCCTCCTCCTTCTTCTTCTTCTTCTTCTTCTCCTCCTCCTCCTTCTTCTTCTTCTTCTTCAGTACGCCAGCTGCAGATGACCTGAGCTCTTGCTGTCTCTGAATAATGAGCAGCCTCAGAGACAAGGAAGACAATCTGCTAAGCATGCAACACAAAGAAGTTTTGGAGTCTAGCAAGCACCAGAGGGTGCACAAGAGTTTGCGATGAGACAGTGAGACAGGAGGAAGGTCCACAGAGCCTCTCATGACTCCAGCAGTAATGGAGCTCAAACATGGAGCCCCTCACGGCGCTTATGACACATTATGATGAGCCATATGATGAGAACGCGTCATTACAGACATTCATTATGGCGCGCGCGCTATAGACGGCGGTCGCGTCATAATATCCCAATCTTCCGTTTCATATGTTCTCTATTCTGAGGAACATGGTAAAAAAGGTTTCACGTGCATAAAGATCATTATCCAGCACAGTATAGATGTAAATAGATATATGCACCACATTCAGTGTTGTGGCTGATTTCAAAATAAATAACATTATGTGAATCTTTTTTCAGAGGAACATGGTCAATAAAAGGTTTCACGTGCATGACAATCATTGTCCAACACAATATATATATGTGTTGGACAATGATTGTCATATGAAGAGTTCAGATGCAAAAGCCTCTAAATGCCATTTGAAATTTTCTTCTTTAATGATGAGTTTTATCAAACTTGTATATTTATGTTCAGTAATTTCACTTAAATAACAATTAATAGGTAATTATCATTGCCATTTAAGTGAAATTACTGAACTTAAATATACAAGTTTGATAAAAATGGCATTTAGAGGCTTTTGCATCTGAACTCTTTATATATATATATATATATATATATATATATATATATATAGTCACGTGATGTGGCTGATTTCAAAATAAATTGCATTTTGTGAATGCAATTAAAATCTCTTTTAAAAGGAACATGGTAAAAAAAATTTTAAATCGCTCCACTCGTTCTGATAATAATATAATATGTTTTGACACATATTCTGAACGTTTTTCCAAGCATGTTATGTATTCCCTGTTATGCCTGTATTTAGAGTGAAAGCTTCTCGAACAAGCACAATAAATAATAGGCGGGGCTTGATTTTGTCTGTGGGGAATTGATTGGATGGTATGCGTGCCGTCACGGATGGATCTCTGGTAAGTTGTAAGGACAATATCGAGTCTAAGATTTAGTTTAAATAAGCATTTTTAGATAATAAGAATTTAGATAATCTTTCGTTTTACTCGCCTTTTCGCAGTTTCCTCTAATAAATCCAGTCATATGGTTATTTTGCCACTCAGTGTGTGTGTTCCAATGGGAAAGTGACGTCAATGCATAACCTCTATTGGTGGATCTCATGTGAGTGACAGACTGGAACGTCATTTTCATTCAGAGAGCATGCTGGGAAGCCAATCTCCTCTCCAGCTGCATTTATGTAAGACGGCACGCTTGTTTTCTCCTGTTCGTTCTCTCTGGGTTTCTGTCTGTGGCCACTTGACACAACGGTTAATTAGATTTTTAGCTGCTCTTAACCACTAATTCATAAATCATAACTCAATGAGCCTGACTGACACAGAACACCAATAAAGCATGACAGAACCATAAATCATTGACACGGAAACTGCTACTTTTTCAGTTGTACTCTGAATGTCATTAAACATAACGACTTTTATGGGTTTCATTCCCTAGTAATGCATGAACCGACAAATTGTCCATAAATGTAAAATACATCATGGTATGAAAATGTATGAAGAATATGTGTGTAAACTCAAACTTAAAAGTAAAAAGCTTCTATTAAAGAGCCGTTAAACTCGTTGACTGTTTTGGTTTGTTCATTCTCTTTTTGTGGACGATTCATTGACTCACTCAAAACTCACAAAAAAGTCTTCATAATCGACTTACTAATTTTACACAAAAATGGAAACTGGAAATAAATTACTGTAAGAGACCACTGAAAAATTAGCAGTTTCTCTGGATTATTATTTATGTGACATTTTAACATTTTTTGATTGATTCTACAAACTACTGACAACATTTCTTCTAAATTTCTGAACTTAAAGAAAAAACAGCTTTTAATGTGTTAAAAGCACAAACAAACTTGTAACCAATCAGATCAATGTGTGATTGTCAACCAGTGGATCTCTGAGCTGAGTGAGTAAGTGGAGGCGGGGCTCATTTGCATATTCATAGAACCGTTCATACTTAATGAGTCAAGGGTGTCGAGTTACATTCAAGATATTTAAAGACATTAAGACACTTTTTTTCAAGGAAAAAAAACGTTTAAATATGTAACGTTGATTAAAGATGAGTTTTGGAGGTATAAAATTACTGACTACATAAAGACTTTTAAACATTAGTATTGTGTTGTTTAAAAATGAATATAAACTTTGCATTATTCAAGTTCTGAAAACATGACAAAAACATTTGCTATGACCAGTTGTCATTTTTTTTGCAAAACTCAACAGCAGATTTATTTGAAATTTGGAAGAAATGTTGTAAATAGTTGTAAATAGTGTAGAATCAATCAAAAATAATTTAACTCAAGCGGATTTACTAAAATAATAAATCCAGAGAAACTGCAAACTTTTCAGTGGTCTTTTAATTTATTTATATATATATATATATATATATATATATATACCGTATGGGAATCAATATTATTAATATATTATTAATAATATTAAAATATTATTAATATATATATATATATATATATATATATATATATATATATAATTTTTTTTTTAATTTAGCAGACAGTATCCAGTGTCCACTACCCTTGAGAGAGAGATCATAATAAATCAAAGACCTCCTGATGAAAGAGAATAAAAGCTGTTCAGTCTCAGGTGAGCTCTTAATCTTCATTACCTGCTCGACTTCACCGCATCATGTTTCAGGTAAATATTTGGACACAAAGGCAGGTGTAATAGACAGCAGCCTTGTGAGGTGATGATGACTTACCATAGTATTTCCCCTCAGGACTCAGATGCACCTCATTAAATGCCTTTCACAGGTTTAGAGACATTAAAGTCTACATCACCTCATCAGTGCACACACACACATCTACTGAACGCGCGCACACACACACACACACACACACAAGTGAGGCGGAGTGAGCATGATTTAATCAAACCGATTAACTTTATATGGTGTATATTTGTCAGTCATACAGAAATGTTAAAGGTAAGGTTTTTGCATAGAAAAAGAGTTTATTATTAACTCTTTGCATTTATTGATTATATTTAAATGATAATGCGTTTAATCAAGGGTTTAGAATCAGAATAAATCAGTTAATTGTAAAAACAATTAAATGTATTCAGTTAAATAGAATGAACATGGTTAAAATATGACTACCCTTTTGTTTTTAGAATAATATGCCGATTTAACACTTTTATCAAATATTTTCATTTGATAATCCTCAAAAAGAGAGCAGCACTTACTACTTAACACAGTTCACTTTCAGGGAAACTGGCGCTGCGTCAATGGCGCTTTGGAAACGCCCCTATGTGATCACATCTGAAGCATGTCCGTCAACTAGTCCAACGGCGTGAGTGAACGTCATGACCAGGAGAGGATAAAAGCACAACCGGTCTGACCGGCGTTAGCTTCTGTGCCTTTAGCAAAAGCAAAATTTTTCAGCCCCCAGGTTATTAGGCTATGTCAATGCGGCTATGGGGCGAAGGCCCCGGTGAAGGCCTCTGAAGGCCCCGGTGCTGCCCACTACACTACACTGGACCGCACTACACTACACTACAGTACACTATAAAGTACACAATGCTACACTACATTACACTACGCACATCTGCAAACCCATCCTTTTTTTGCACAAGCCTCCAAAAGTCTCCGTCTCAGGGGTTTCTCTACAGGAGGCATGTGATGTGGCGGGCTGGTCTTCCCCGCTCACATGTGTGAGGTTTTATAGCCTGGACTTGGACGCTGCCCCAGGGTCTCAGGTGCTTATGACTTAGTTGCCACGGTTTCACATACAGGCAATTGCAAGTATGGCGTTTAGGTATTGTCATTCCCAAAGCACCATCAACGCAGCGTCTCATTCCCTTCTCAAGGAGCTAGGGTTTCAATTTCAATTTCAGGTTTAATCCATTAACAGAAATCCAGAAGTTTACATCGAAAATAAGCACAGAAATGCGAAAAGTTTTCAGATTCAGTCTGGACTTGATTTCATGAGGAACGCGTGATCTCACATGTTAAAATGAGTGGTCAAAATTTAAACCCTGAAGAATCATATCCAGCAAACCATGTATCTTGATATGAAGAACTCAGCGAACAGCGAACAATC